AATGGCAATCATCCTGTAATAGTGGAAAATCTAACACATGATGGCATGTTGCTTGATTCTTGCAATGTTCTGGTTCGCTTTAGCTAAGAACTGGCTTGAGCACTGACCTTGTGGACCCCTTTCCTCATTAATAGTACTGTTTTCCAGTGCAGTACTTGCTTCACACAATCCATTCCATTGAATTTCAGCTTGATCACCGTGACTACAGGCCGATCTTGAGCTCTAATCCAAACTTTCTGCCCTCTTTTCAATGACACTGTAAGCTGCAACTTCGCCTTTCCCTTCCTGGGCCAAAAGGAGAAGTGCCTCCGCCTCCCTGCCTTCCGTGACGCAACGGAGTTTCTCTGCAGGGGAAGACCTACTCTTCTACAGCTGTCACTGTTACATCATGTCCATCAGCACCAAGAGGTACTCCTGACCTCTCTTTTCTGTTATCCATGGGGTCTGCTACATCCATGCAGACTGAAGCCCTGGGTAATGTGCTCTTTGATGAACAACCCTTCCATCCGCTGCCCTGGGAGCCCTGCGTATGGACCACATACTCACAGTCTCGCAGCTGCATCGGATGGTCTGAAGGGACGTCCAAAGGTCTTGTTCCTCCAGTTCCTCACGTGTAGACCGTACGCCTGCATGTCCTAGGGCCCCATGCACGCCTCGTACGACCTCATACACGTGCTCTTCTGGGACCTCCCTTCCCCTGGGAGAACTGTCCCACTTCTCGATTCTGGCAAAGACAACCTTCCTTTGATTCACTCGAGTCCATGTCTCAAATCCCTCTCCACACAGAATCACTCTCACTGGGGCTGACTGGAACAGGGATCTAGACAGGGATCTTCTTCATCTTCTCTCCTGCTCTGCTTTTGACGTTTGCTGGAGTTTTGATCCTTCTTCTTCTTCTTTTCCTTCATCCATGATTGTCTTTGTCTTCGAGTCGCCTTTCCCCCAAAGCCTCTCTTTAGCCTTCAAGCAGGGATGGGTTTAGGCTATTGGCTACTGGCTTCACTTCTGGACACTCGCGATTATCCTCAGCTGAAGCTCTCCCTCACCTGCATGCCATACAGTTACTGCAAGGGTTGTGACTGACAGCCGGATCAGCCACCACTAACTCTATTTCCTAAGAGCTAGCCTCCAAGTGAGCTATTCAGATACTCGCCTCTGTTTTTACTGACTTGGTTAATGTAGGTCCTTCCTACTCATTTGACATGGGCCCACCTCTTCTCAAGGGGCGGTGCCCCACCTCTTCTCAAGGGACGGTGCCCCACCTCTTCTCAAGGGGCGTGGCCCCACGTTGGGCGCCACCTTGTTGTTGCACAACACCTCCCCCCCCCTTCTCTCTCTCTCTCTAGTTCCCTTTGTCAGAGGAGGGAGACGGGTGAATTGAGTTTCCTAAATCTGTCGAGAT